CGTCGAGGGCGCGGGCGACGGCGGGCGGCGTCGAGGGCGAGGTCGACGGCGGGCGGCGTCGAGGGCGAGGGCGGCAGGCCTTCGGCGCGGCAGAGAACGAGCAGAGAAATGGAGGCGACGGGTCGGGCGGTTGTATTTATAGCCCCCCCCCCCTTTAGTCGCGGTTGGGGAGGCGACCCGCGACTAAAGGGTAACCTTTAGTCGCGGTTGGGGAGGCGACCCGCGACTAAAGGACTTTTTTGGCGGGTTTTTCGTTCCCGCGCGCAACCACCTTTAGTCGCGGTTGGGCAGGCCAACCGCGACTAAAGGTATTTTCCAAATACTTTTTCTTTTTGAAAATCTTAAAAATACAAATAATATATCAAAAAATTCAGAAAAAAATAACTAATTCAATTCAATATGTTAAAAAAACAAATATTATATCAAAAAATTCAGAAAAAAAACTAATTCAATTCAAAATTCTAAAAATACAAATAATATATCAAAAAATTAAGAAAAATAAAACTAATTCAATTCAAAATGTTAAAAATACAAATAATATATCAAAAAATTCAGAAAAATAAAACTAATTCAATTCAAAATTAACCATCATGCATTTGTTAAACTAACTAGCTACAAACAATATAAATTAAACAATGAACTGCACACATGCATATTTTATCGCGGAGGGGAGGGGCTTTAGTTGCGGTTGGCCTGGCAAACCGTGACTAAAGGTGCCCGAAGGCCTTTAGTCGCGGTTGTCCTGGCCAACCGCGACTAAAGACCCTCACGTGCGCCAGCTGGCCACCGAGCGCCCTGGGCCCAGGCCTTTGGTCGCGGTTCACCTCCAGAACCGCGACTAAAGGTCCCATTAGTCGCGGTTCCTACAGCTTCGCGACTTATGGGGCTGGACGGAAGCCTGTTTTTCCACCAGTGGGATAAAAATGTAATACCAGAACAATAAGGTACACTCGCTCTAGACAAACCCAATGTACTTGGACTTCAAACATCACACTACTTCAATACAGGGAGCATATGATGGCTTGGAAGTTAGATTTATGGGAATCTCAGGATTGCTGGGAATCCTAACCGCAGAAATGAGATAGCAATAAGAATGTGGTGGGAATATCAGATAACTTCCTATTTCAAAGGGAATGCAAAACTCCTAAATCCCAGAAACTTGTTCCTCCCATAATCTAATATTGCTAACTACTCTAGGTTCTTATTGGATTACCCTCTGATTCCAGGGAAGCCAAGTGACATTCTAGTTACCAATCCCCATCAATGTAGTCCTTGAATAAATTCTACATCATTAGGAAAATAATATTTATACAAATTATCAAGCGTGCAAATTTACCTGCGCACCCTTGATTAAATTCACTGAGAGAGGATTCAGTAGTTTCTCGAACAGATGCTGCGAAACCTTTACCACTCTCAAGAGATTGATTAAGGCCGGTTTTAAATTTTTCAAGAGCCTTGGTACGTAGATGACTCAAATTTTTCTGGAATGCAGGCTGGACAAGCTGCAAAGAATATGGGACAAAATAAGTGAAATGAAGGGGAAGGCGTAACAATGCCTATGTACAATAGCACCTTACATTCAGTATTCTAGATTCCAGCAGTTGCCGTTTGGCCTTCCTAACAGCTTCATCAAAATAGACAGCTTCTTTGTCATACCTGACAAATAATGATGCACCTTAGTTTTATTCGTCAACATTAGTTTCCGTTTTTTTAGATAAAAATCAACATCAGTTTCCTGTTATCACAAAATATAGGGAATTCACAAAGGCCAAGATAGACAGTCAAATAACAACTTCTAGATTCAATGCCAGTACTTCGGTGATTGGATCACAGAGACGAGAAAGACACCAGCAATTTTATATGCAATTTAAAAAAAAGGAGGCAGAGTAAGAAATGTATATTCTGTAATAATCTTGAAACAGTAGATCACCAATTTTTTCAGTGTTCAGTACCAAAGTATGTGCCCTAAATAGTGATAAAGTGTCTCATTTTTGCGACATTGTATGGTTCGGTGGCAGAGTTTTTAGATCTAGTAGAGATGAATTGTTGCTTCAGGGGTGGTTGCTTTGATTCAGAAAATGTTGTATTTTTCTCCGTTTTCTGAGCCAAACTCTGTCTTGTCAGTTGAATGAAATGAAAGGGGCCCCTTAACTAAAAAAACAGAGGCAAACCAATATTATTTCTTATATAAATATCCCAGTACTCACATTAACCATATGTCAAGAGTGCTGGAAATTTTAGAGATTTTCTTTGCGAAGTGCAACATGTTTATCAATCTACTGGTAGATGCATAGAACATACAATGAACTTTGTGCGGTCGCAAGGACCGAGAATCATGTTGAACAAACCACCAGGATGAACAACTAAAATAACACGCAGGCTTACTCTTCCATGTGGACCTCCACAATAGATCCAAGTTTTTTCCCAAAACCGAGTACTGAACCAGCCTGTACATCATTCTCCAAATCTAGCCATTCCTAAAGATCACAAACATATTAGCGAAAGCGAAACATCCATGAGTATTAAATGATAAGTGAAGTTCTTACAGCATCCGAGGTTAGGCAGCCAAACCTCTCATTTGCAATTTCATCACAGCGAACAGTAGCAACCATTACCTTGCATGATGAAGCAAATGGAATAAATCAACAAGTAGCAAGTTTGGGTCGTTTCTTCTGTTGGTGGTGCTTCACCTCAGCATAACGTAGGTTCGTAATCACAGCAAACAATTATAACTGATGATGTTTGATATGTTCCGTTTCAACTGTTGACAAATACCTAGTCTGCCGCTGAATGAGTCCTACTCCTGTTCTATGGGGTCTGCAAGGCATCTATCTATGTGCTCACACAACTAGCGCATGTAATTCTCTCTCCCTACACAAAATATGACTATCATGGTACCAGATTAATCCCAGATCCTGCCATGGCTCCCAAGTAGGGCCCGTCGCGGCCACAGCCATCTCTGCCCTTTCACGCCCTGCAACCCACCTCCTTCCCGCTGCTCTTCTCCCTCTCTCCTTCCAGTTTCGCGGCGTGAACAGGTCATTACCGTCGTGCTCGACCTCCACACTAGGCCATACTCCACATGGAAAGAAGCTCATGGAGCTCCTCGTGTCCAGCTACAACGTCGGCGATCACATCAACACCGATGCGGAGCTGCAGCTCGCCGACAACATATGTGATGAGGACATCCCTACCACTGTTACACCCACAACCCCTGCCGCTCACATGTTCAACTTAGAGCAAGACAAAGACAAGTCAATAGAGCTCACGCACACCAATTAAATTATCAGGTACTTCCATTTCTTGGAACTAATTGTAATGTTCACGAGAATATGATACTGCCTAAACTACATATGTTTGTATTGCTCAGGAATGAAGGGACTAGCATGGACAATGGGACGAGCATTAGAGCATGATCAAGCATAGAGATGAAGGAGAGTGCTTGGGGAAAGACAATGAAGCCTCAAGTGGAGATTTAAGAACCAGGAGCTACCATGATGACACATGAAAACATGGATGAGATATACAAGATGAGACTTCATATTTTCGTTCATAGCTGACGTAAGGGATCGAGGACAGGGCACACCATACACTCCAGGCTGGTGCAGCTGGTCGAGCACCGAGGATGCCAGGAGCATCGCAAAGGGAGCGTCGTGTCAAATGGCATGTGCCATGCCTGAACCATGCCAGCCCAGGGGCAAGGACCTGCTTTCTATGGAGATGGATCGGGGCACCAAATCCACTGTGGATGATGGAGCGCTTGCGCTTAGTTCGACGAGGGTGGGCTTGGCAAGCCATAGGAATTGTGCCCGCCATGGCTTGGCATGGGTGTGGAGGAAACACCATGTGTGCCAGACGACGGGAAGCCAGCAGCCAACGAGCCACATATAGAGAGCAACGCCAACTTGGACGTCAACCCGTTGGAGGAGCATGTTCTACACGTCGACGAAAGAAATCTGCAGTGTCTTTGTCTGGATGATCTTCTCCAACATCTGATGATGCTGGTGCTGGTCGCCGATGAGAACAAGGATGAGGAATCGAAGATTGATGCGCCAATGTCGTGCCGTGTGTCGGCGATGGACTTGAGGTGAGCGCAATAGCCCTTGGTGCCTTGCACATGCTGGTACAACTTTGACGTTAGATGAAGCACACGGGTGCGCTTGTTGTTAAGGGAGACGGACTCAACTACAACCCATGTCTGGCGCGTGGACTTGGAAGTGTCCATGACCGTGGTGACCAACTCCGCAGAGATGGTGACGTAGATCCAAGACCTGCGGATGAGATTGACAAGCCACTACTCGTTGTTACCGGGCTTTGCATCCGCGTCAATATTAAGGCTGGCGTTGTAGCTTGAGATGAGGAGCTCCATGAGCCCCTTTCATGTGGAGTAGTTGTGGAGAGAGAAAGAGAGAAGGAGAGAGAGAAAGGGAGGGAGGGAGGGAGAGAGAGGGAGAGGATTACATGCACTAGATCCTAGCATTGCATGAGAGAGAGATGGAGGGAGGACTGCATGCACTGATCCTAGCATTGCATGAGCATGTTTGTGTTTTATATTTATGATGCCTTTTGGTTTTCTGTATTTGGCATTTGGCCTCCCTTCTGTACTTGTATATATGACGGCTTTGGCCTCCAGATAATACTAAGTTGCTATTCCTAACATGGTATCAGAGCCCTAGAATTTTTTTTCTCGCACGCGCAACTCGTGCTCTTCCGATCCAATTTCTTGCAGCGGCCGTCGCGCTTGTATATATTGCTGCCGCTCCTTTGCTATACCCATGTTCCTGATCTGCTGTGTGTTTGTCCACGTCAGGACACCATCAATCGTTGGCCGCCGCCACCTCGATTCATCTGCCTTCGTCCAGATTGAGTCACCAAATCAATTCCATCTCCTCCGGGTGCATACTGTCGTCCACGTCCACCCGATTCCGCCAAAGATTGGCCGCCGGTTCTTGCTGCCGTCCGCCGGTCCGCCCAGGTTGCCATCCGCGTTCGTCCATTTCCGCCCAAGATCGGCCGCCGGTTCCCGTGCTATATTGACCGCTGACCGCCGGTTCCCGTGCTCGATCGGTCGCCGGCCACAAGATCCATCTCACGCGCGTGCTTTGACTGCAGGGACGTGAATCAATCCACCTATGCATGTCTGTGTGCGTGCGTGCTCCCTGCATGGCCCACTCTACTTTGGGCTGCTGGTGGGCGGCCGGGCTACTCTGCCAGGTAGCCCGATTCGTTATGTTGCGGCTTCAGTTCTGTTGTTGTCTAAAAAAAGAGTAAAAAAAGGTACAATGCTTTCGCTAGGTACGCGTCTCCCACGTTGCCCAATGTTTTTCGACGGTATTCCGTACATTGATCCTGTCTCACACATGCGCCTTCTCTCGGTGCTTGGTGCTCGTCCGCTTGGAGATGGTGGTTGTCGCTCTACTTCGACACCTTTTGCGAGTTCCATCGGTGCTGCTGGCCGCTCTACAACGACTGCTTCAGTAGTTGCACCGCCTCCTTTAGCCGCTTCTCTGCATGGCATTGGTCGTTCTACATCGACTCTCTTGGCTTCTTCTGCCGGCTATGTTGGTCGTTCTTCATCGAGTATTCTCACGACTTCCGCACCTGGTGATTTTAGCCCTACGCCGACTCCCTTAACGAGTTCTGCACCCGGTGGTGACCGCACTATGTCGGATTCTGTCGTGGCTTCTACCCACGGTTGTAGCCGCTCCACGTCGACTCATTCTATGTCGACTCACCACATAGCCTCCACGGGTGATGGCAACCGCTCTTTGTCGGCAGGTGGTTCTACCTCGACCTCTAACATTGTATCCCTGCCTGCGCATGAGATTGCGCAACTCCAATGCCTTTTTGCTGCTTGGATTCTTTACCGACAGGTTCTATAGGTTCTGCGCCTGAGTTTTGCATTGAGAGACCACCTTCTACTCATTCAGGTACATCCTCATTGATTCTTGATACTGGAGTGTCTTTTCATATGACTTATGATTCTTCGACTTTGACCTCCATTCGACCTATTGAGTCTCAGCACATCCACCTTTCATGTTCCCTCTGTTGCTCATGTTCCTCAACATAGCATACAACTCTTTTTAGGTAGTCAGATTGTTGACTCTCGTTGTAGCGTCAATCCCGACTTTGGTTCATGTTCTGTTCAGGACCATCGCACAGGCGCTCTGCTTGGTGTTGGCCCCGAAGCCGTGATGGTCTCTCGGAGCTTGACTGACTTCGTCTTCCCTTTGATGCCGCCGCCGCGGTCTCGCGGCCCTGTTGCTGCATCTGCTAGCTCTTTTCAGTAGTGGCATCATCGCCTTGGCCATTTATGTGATTCTCATCTCTCGTCTTTAGTTCATCGTGGTGTTCTGGGACCTGTATCCGGTAACGCTTCGTTGGACCGTCTGGGTTGTAGGCCTGGTAAGCAGATTCAGCTACCCTATCCTCATAGCGAGTCAGTGTCCGAGCATACCTTTGATCTCGTTCACTCACATGTTTGGGGTGCGGCTCCCTTTGCTTCGAAAGGGGGTCATCGCTACTATATTCTCTTTATAGGCGATTTTACTCGCTACACTTGGATCTATTTCATGTCTTCTCGTAGTAAGGTCTTATCTATATACAAAAAAAATGATGCCATGGTTCATACCCAGTTCTCCACTGCTATATTAGTGTTTTTCGCGCAGATTCTGCTGGTGAGTATATCTCTCGTGCATTGTGAGGATTTCTTGTTGAACAGGGTACCCTTCCCCAGTTCTCTTGTCCTGGTGCTCAAGCTCAAAATGGTGTGGCTGAACGCAAGCACCGTCACCTTCTTGAGATGGCGCATGCAATGATGATCACTGCCTCTCATCTGTCTCACTTTTGGGCTGAGGCTATACCCACTTCCACCTGTTTCATCAACATCCAGCCATCTGCTGCTTTGCAGAGTGGTATTCCTTTCGAACGGCTTTTTGATCGTTCTCCTGATTATTCGGTGCTTCGTTTGTTTGGTTGTGTTTGCTATGTTCTTCTTCCTCCACGTGAACGCACCAAAATGACCGCTCAGTCTGTTGAGTGTGTCTTTCTAGGATACAGCGATGATCATAAGGGTTACCGGTGTTGGGATCCTGTTGGTCGACAGATGCATATTTCCCGGGATGTGACCTTTGATGAGTCTTGTCCTTTTTACCCGCATCCATCCTCCTCGACCTTTTCTGTGAAGGACATCTCTTTTCTCACATTTCCCGATACACCTCCCTATGTGCCCCATATTCCTACCCCTGTTGTTGCAGATATGGCGCCGTACTCTCCCACAGTTTCTTCTCCTCCCTTGTCGCATGACTCTCCATCTTTATCCCCGATACCTTCTCTGTCTTCACCTTCATCAACAATGACTTCCCCATCAGCACCCATGTCTTCCCCGTCTCCATCTCCGGTGATTCCTAATCGTCCCTCTTTTCCTCTCCATTACACTCGTCGTCCACGTCTTGTGGATGCGTCCACTGATGCGCCATCTACTTCTGGTGTGCCCTCTTCCTCTTCTCAGCCGACTTATGGTCTTCAGACTCGGCCTTGTCCTCATCCTGACTTGAGCCTACCTCTTATCGCGATGTTGTTGTTCATCCTGAATGGCAGTTTGCGATGGCGGAGGATATTGCTGCACTTGAGCGCCACTGGAACGTGGGATCTAGCTTCTCTTCTTCCCCGTGTTCGTCCCATCTGTAAGGGCATGCTTATCCCTAAGGTGTTTTGGTGATTGATGACAATGCTTTTGCGGACTAATCGTGTGCCTTGAGTTTTTCAGTTGCTTTGTGCCTTTGTCGTTAGGCACAAGACGGTTTGGTACCCCTCGAAGACTATTGAAGACGGTGGTGTTCTACGTCTCCTTTGGTGGATTTGAGTCATAGGATAGCCGTTTTATTAAGAGGGGGGTCCGCTGTGGAAAGGTTTGGGAGGAATCATCACGTACACGCTTCTTCCTTTACCCCGCCTTTCCCTTTGCGCTCTGGAGCTTCCTCTGTTATCTTCTCGTCTGTGCAAAAAGAAGGATTCCTTTAATGCTACTAGTTGAGGCCTGCGGTAGTACTGCTTTCAGAAGCGGTAGTACCGCAGGACACCGCGGTAGTACCGCAAGCCCTCGCGGTAGTACCGTAGGCGTCCACGGTAGTACCGCTCCTATGGAGCGGTAGTACCGTGGCCTCTGGCCAGGCTCAGCCTCTCTTGCGGCTGTAGGGGCGGATGTAATTTTTTACATCCGCGCCCTACGCGGTAGTACCGCCCCAGGTGCGCGGTAGTACCGTGAGTCCTGATCCGGCTCAGTAGCACGAGCGGAAGTAGGGGCAGATGTAATTTTTTACATCCGCTCCCTGCGCGGTAGTACCGCAAGTCTGGCGCGGTAGTACCGTGTCGGGTTTTTGCACCGTTCGATTTTCAGCGGAAGTAGACACGGATGTATTTTTATTCATCTGTGCCCTTCCCCGTCTAGACCATCCTGGCCTTGCGGTAGTACCGCAAGGGGGAGCGGTAGTACGGCGTCAGCGGCGGTACCGCTCTCAGCCTTGGCGGCTCTGGCCTGGTCTAGCCCCTGCCGCTGCAGCGGTAGTACCGTGACCCGTCACGGTAGTACCGCATGTCTGGTGCGGTAGTACCGCGAGTCGCGGGCTGAATAAGTGGATAACGGTTGGATTTGTCCCCCCACTATAAAAGGGGGTCTTCTTCTCCAAGAAGACTTACCTCTTCCATCCCTAAGCTCCATTGTTGCTCCAAGCTCCATTTTCGCCCGATCTCTCTCCCTAGCCAATCAAACTTGTTGATTTGCTCGGGATTGGTTGAGAAGGCCCCGATCTACACTTCCACCAAGAGAAATTTGATTCCCCCCACTTATCCCTAGCGGATCTTGTTACTCTTGGGTGTTTGAGCACCCTAGACGGTTGAGGTCACCTCGGAGCCATAGTCCATTGTGGTGAAGCTTCGTGGTGTTGTTGGGAGCCTCCGATTAAGTTGTGGAGATTGCCCCAACCTTGTTTGTAAAGGTTCGGTCGCCGCCTTCAAGGGCACCAATAGTGGAATCACGGCATCTCGCATTGTGTGAGGGCGTGAGGAGAATATGGTGGCCCTAGTGGCTTCTTGGGGAGCATTGTGCCTCCACACCGCTCTAACGGAGACGTACTTCCCCTCAAAAGGAAGGAACTTCGGTAACACATCCTCGTCTCCACCGGCTCCACTCTTGGTTATCTCGCGCCTTTACTTTTGCAAGCTTTCTTGTGTTGTTTCCCTTGCTTGCTCGTGTGTTTGTTGTTGTTGCATCATATAGGTTGTTCACCTAGTTGCATATCTAGAGAACCTACTTTGATGCAAAGTTTAATTTGGTAAAGAAAAGCTAAAAAATGTTAGTTGCCTATTCACCCCCCCCCCTCTAGTCAACTATATCGATCCTTTCACCATCACTTGTAAGTGGGTCTATAAGATTAAGACTCGCTCTGCTTGAGCGTTATAAAGCTCCTCTTTGGCTCATGGCTATCAGCAGGAGCATGGTCGTGATTACGATGAGACATTTGCTCCTGTGGCCCATAAGACCACTATTCACACACTTCTCGTCGTGGCTTCTGTTCGCCATTGGTTTGTGTCTCAGCTTGATGTTAGGAATGCCTTTCTTAATGGTGAGTAGCGTGAGGAGGTTTATATGCAGCCACCACCTAGGTATTTTGTTCTTGATGGCATGGTTTGTCGTCTTCGTCGCTCTCTCTATGGTCTTAAGCAAGCCCCCGCGCTTGGTTTGAGCGTTTTGCCTCTGTGGTGACTGCAGCTGGTTTTTCTCCTAGTGCTCATGATCCAGCGCTCTTTGTCCACCTTTCTGCTCGTGGTCGCACTCTTCGTCTTCTATATGTTGATGACATGATCATCACTGTCGACGATCTTCAGTACATTGCCTTTGTCAAGGCCCGTCTCAATGAGCGGTTTCTTATGTCTGATCTTGGTCCTCTTCTTTACTTTCTTGGGATTGAGGTTTCCTCCACCTCTGATGGTTTTTTATTTCCAGAGAAAAGTATATCCAGGATCTTCTTGCTCGTGCGGCTCTTAGTGATAAGCGCACTGTTGAGATTCCTATGGAGCTTAATGTTCACCTTCGTGCTTCTGATGGTGAGCCATTGTCTGATTCGACTCGTTATCGCCATCTTGTTGGGAGTCTTGTCTATCTCGCTGTCACTCGTCCGGATATCTCTTATCATGTCCATATGTCAGTTTGTTTCTTCTCCCACTTCGGTTCACTATAGTCACCTTCTTCCTAATCTACGATATCTTCGTGGCACGATCTCTAACCGTCTCTTCTTTCCTCGTTCCAGCTCCAGGCCTATTCAGATGCTACCTGGGCTAGTGATCCTTCGGATCGTTCACTTTCTGCTTACTATGTCTTTCTTGGTGGTTCTCTCATTGTCTGGAAGACGAAGAAACAGACTGCAGTTTCCAAGCATGAGCTTACCAAGCATATTGGGGTCGATGCTTTCTTTGTGCGCCTTGGTGTGCAGGACCATGTTATTGCTCTGCAGTATGTGCCTTCCAAGTTACAACTAGCAAACTTCTTCACGAAGGCCCAGACTAGAGCGCAACATGGGCTTTACCTCTCCAAACTCAGTGTCGTGGATCCACCATGAGTTTGAGGGGGGGGGGGTGTTAAGAGTTATATTTATGATGCCTTTTGGTTTTCTGTATTTGGCCTTTGGCCTCCCTTCTGTACTACTCCCTCCGTCCCAAAATAAGTGTCTTGAGCTTAGTACAAATTTGTACTAGAGCTAATACAAAGTTGCGACACTTATTTTGGGACGGAGGGAGTAGTATATATGATGGTTTTGGCCTACGGATAATACTAAGTTGCTATTCCTAACAGTTTGTACATGTATAGGACATGATCTGCATCCATGTTGCATAGATAGATAACATGCATATCCTATGGAATAAGGGTAGGGCTCATTCAGCCGCAGACTAGGTATTGTCTAGCAATTTTGTGTTAGATTTAAGATAATTTGCAAGATAAGCACTTCTTTAAGGAATAGCAAAAAGGTTTGAAAATATTGTATCGACAGGCATTAAGTAGGCTCAGGAACAATGCACTCCCATTTCATGTCGTCTCTTTTCCAGAATTGTTTTGGCTGTTGATTAAAAATCAGAGGATGAGTTCTTTTACATAAAAAAAAACAGGCTTTAGAGGATTGGTGTAGATGGATACTGTGGATTTTCTTATGTATGATGCATTTGATGCATAGACCAACATTATGGAACTTAAAGTAACTCCTTTATGACACATGTAACACCGATCCAGTGTACATCAAATTGTACCTTATGAGCAGGAAGATCAAGATCCTTGTTCTCTCGGATAATTTTCCAAATCTGCTGTGAACTAAACAAAAAACCTGAAGCAGGAACAACTCCTCTCCTATCACCTGCAAGACCTCCTGGTGCAATTGAATTTGCAAATCTCTGCCTAAGTTGTTGAACCTGGTCGAGATAAAAGTAAAGCGCTTGAAAAATAATATATTTAGATTCTCTTTTTATTTGGAAAATAATGTAGTACATTTATGTAGAAACAACTTAAGACGACAAGTTTCAAGTAATTGTTGAAGTACCTGCTCTCTGAATTGTTCTTCTTTTTCTTCAAAACTGGGCAATGCGGTGACTTGGACCTTCATATTTACAAAAGGTGTTATAATCAGTATAGTCTATGAGTCAATCAAGATTGTATAGCAGAATCAGAAAGCCCACATTGAAAAATTCACTGAGAGGGGTATCCTTGTGTGCCTCTGGCTTAGGAACCGAGTTCCATATCTGATCAAATTAGTCACAAAATTAGAACCAGGGAATGGCAATAAACTACTCCCACTGTTCACCAATATAAGATGTTTTAGATTTTTCAATATGGACTACATACGGACTGAAATGAGTGAACAAACACACTAAAACTTGTCTATATACATCCGATTCAGAAAAAAGTTAGAACATCTTATATTTGTGAACAAAGGGACTCCCTCCGTTCACTATTATAAGATGTTCTAACTTTAGTGTGTTTGTTCACTCATTTCAGTAAGTATGTAGTCCATATTAAAATATTCAAAACATCTTATAATAGTGAGCAGAAGGAAAAGTAAACAATCATGGAATAAGAATAGGATACCAGCACCTTTTGAATATCCTCCCTTAGAACTGGTTCTAGATGTTCAAGTGGAGTCTACATGAAAATAATGATGTGTCTGAGATTCGCCCAAATAAATGGAGCAAAGATTATATTTCTGATAATAAAAAGAATTTAGTTAATATATTCAAAATAGGAAGAGAACAAAGGAGAAGCAAACCCTTGTTTTATCGCGTATAACAAATAATAGTGTTGTCTTCCTGGGACTGAACAAACGCATCATGACCTACACACCAAGTTGTCCGAAAGTTACAAGTAAATGAGGACATATATCCCCATTGCTAGTGAGGGTATACCTAAAAGAACAGAGATTGCACCTTGGTACCTGAAATACTGTCTTTAGAAGAGGTTTATTAGCAGCTTGCTCCCGACCAATATCATGGCACCACCTAGAAGAATACATGCAGTTAAAATATAAGGACTTGAGTGTATGGACAAAATCTCAATATATAAGCATAAGGGGAGGGGTAGTTATCTTGACATCAAAAAATTGGAGCAGCATCCTGTATCACAGAGAATGACTCACATGTTAATCAAAACTATGTCGGAAATCGCAAGAGCAAATAATGAACTTTGCTTCTCAAATGCCGTATCATCCTAAAATGAGCCAAAAGCACAGATCATCAGAAAAGAAGTGTCCTCAGTAACCTCCTTACAGCAGTATATCTAATAAGCCTCTACCATAGTTCCATATGACATGACCAAGTCGCTTTAACTCATGCAGTCATCTTTTGAACATAGTACTAATCAAACATGATACTACGTCAGTCCCATAATATAAGATGTTATTACAACCAATATACCCACATATTGGTTGTGATAACATCTTATATTACGAGACGGAGGGAGTAGTTTTTATTTCTGTTCTTTTGAGGATCAATCACGTTTATATTTTTTACTTGAAGACAGGAAAGCCAAATCAGTCAAGAATGCAATGTTATTGCTTTGCTAAAGCACTACTTGCGAACTAAAATTTGCATTCTATTAAGAAATGATACCATAAACAGGAGGAAAATACTCCTAATTATAAGCTTCGGTCAGTACACTCACTGCGTCTGATGCCTGGATTAGATGTAAATTAGGTAAATTATCGCAAAAGACAAATGGAAACAATCTATTGATACCAGGTATCATTTCATAAATTCGTCCCATTCCATGCTTTAAGGTCCAAGTTTTTCTGGTCAGGGCACTAAATACTCTGACAGAAAGAAAGAGAAAATGCAGTGTCTTTATTTCCAATCTTCTAGGTCTAATTGACAGTTTGGTGATTGTTATGTCAAACTGTACCAGTAACTATTCTAGTTACCAAGTCCATAACCTTCCAGTATCTCTCTAATGTTGCACTTTGCTACTCGAAAAGTCAAAAGAACAAGGAAATTAAACTATGCAAGTAAGCATACCTCTCCTCTTTCTCTTCCATCAGTACCTTCCAAATCCATTACAACAGTACAGGGCTCAACACCAACACAGCGTGCCATCCAGATGCCTTTGGTAGTTTGGCTCCTAGCGACAGAAATATACTATCAAATCTAAGAGTGTACTACATTTGAAAGCACAAATTCATGATAAGAGAAATGAAAAAAATGAAAGAAAGATAGGTAAATAAAATTGAGTATACCTTCCCCTGAACGCATCCATCTCCCTAAAATTAGTCCCAAAGAGTAGGTTCAACAAGGTACTCTTTCCTGCTCAAAGTAAAGTATGATTAATATTATGCCAACTAAATTTTGAAGTATGTACTGTCAATTTGTGATAAAGGGAAGGAAGTCCACACTCATAGATATCATCCAAGAATACATGTTTAAGTTCAGTATTAGACTATCAGTCAAATGATGAAAATAAGCATTTTACAGTTAATATCAGAGAAGACAAACAATAACCCCCAAGAAAAAGGATATACAGTGGATTTATAATTAATTTTTCATCAGTGGATCTGATTCTTAGATGTCACTCATGTCAGCAAGTGAAGGGCTTCAAAATAGATATGCACGAACACCCTACTTTTACAATATACACATGTCACCCAGTTGGGGTTGCAAGGCTCAGTCGAAAAGGGTAAACGGTGGCTTATACAAGTACTAAGGCGCTAAGATGTCACCATAGCTTCATAGAAATGGCAATGTCACGCACTGGCAATGCAGATTTCCCTCAATGTACATACACCGAAACAAACAAGCAATGATGCACCGGTCCCCATGCAACCACTACGAAATTACCCTCTAAACTGGCAAGCTTATACCGGCAGTCTGAGTTCGGAATGATATGTATGATATAACATGTTAGTATTTTGCTACCCAAACTTACTGAACCCCGTCTTTGTTCATCGGGCATCGGCGGAGCCTCAATAATCCATCCGAAGACGAGGGCACGCCCTGAAACAACGGAAACATGCTGCCGTTCTATCGGACAAACCGCATCATGGATAGCGGTTAACCCATTTGATCGACAAAATGGGCGTCCCCGACCCGTGCACCAATTAATGCTCCAGGAACAGCGCGAAACAAATCGGCGGCGGTGCCGATGCCCAGCGAAATTCACGAGCATTTGATCAAACAGGTTGCCAGCGCCGCGCATGGGAATATGGGATGGGAGCACGCCACACGATCGAGCCAACGCGACGGGCGTTCGCGCGCAGTGTACGTGCGTACTTACCGCTGCTCTGGGGGCCCATGATGGAGACGACGGCGTAGGAGAGTCCGCAGCCGGCGACGCCTGCGGCCGTCATGAACCGCTCCGCCGACTCGCCCGCGAACTCGCCCTCGCCGTCGATCAGCTGCACCGCCTGCGCCCCAGCCGCAGCCGCAGCCGCCGCGTCCACCTCCGCCATCTCCGGTAGATCCAACGCGCACTGGTAGGGTTCGTGGGGTGCTGGGGAGGGGACGGAGGCGATCGATGACTGACGCGGTCGCTGGCTCGCTCCGTCCGCCCCGCGCCGCGCCTCGCTTTCTCTCCGGCCTCTCGGCTTTCGCGGGGCACGGTTCGAGTGGCCTCCGCCGATTCTTTTGCATATATACCACGCCCGCTCTCTTTTTCCTTTTTAACCCTGAAAATTTTCTTGTTTACGTTTAATTCTTGTTAAATTGCGCATAATTGCATACTTAGTAGATTTTTTTTTTCAAAAATACGCACAATCATGCATATCATTACTCTTATAAAGGACTTTGGGTGCTAATGCATCCTTCACAATTAAATCTGTGTACTCTCTCTTGGAGAAAAACATCGTGGGTTGTGATTATAGATGAATTTGGAAGGCCAGAATTCCGTTGAAAATTCAAATCTTTTTATGGCAGTTATTTTCAGGATGTTGTCTTGACTAGGATGTAATGAAGCATCGGAGATGGAAAGGGAATCCCATGTGCTCATTTTTGTGAGGAACGAGAAACTTCGCAGCATCTGTTTTTCACATGCCCGGTTGCTAGGGTGACTTGGAGAACGGTTGCATGCATGTTTGACACTGAATTATGTCCTGATAATATTTGGCAAGCTTATGTGTGGTGCTTCGCTTTCTTTCCTGGTGGAGAAGCATTTTACACGGGTGGGATTGCGGCTGTATGCTGGGAATATGGACATGTCGCAATAGAGCTACTTTCGAATTTAAACCTCTAAAAAAAACCCTTTTGAATGTATCTTTTCTGCTTGTGCTTTACTTTGTTACTGGCAGGACTGTTGAAACATGAAGACGCTGCAAGTCTGAGGGATGGTGCTAAGATGCTGAAAGAGAACACGTCGATGATGATGAGAATCTGCGCTGCAGGCCAGGAGTGAGCGGTGTTGGAAATATGCCCTAGAGGCAATAATAAAATGGTTATTATTATATTTCCTTGTTCATGATAATTGTCTATTGTTCATGCTATAATTGTATTAACTGAAACCGTAATACATGTGTGAATACATAGACCACAACATGTCCCTAGTGAGCCTCTAGTTGACTAGCTCGTTGATCAATAGATGGTTATGGTTTCCTGACCATGGACATTGGATGTCATTGATAACGGGATCACATCATTAGGAGAATGATGTGATGGACAAGACCCAATCCTAAGCATAGGACAAGATCGTGTAGTTCGTTTGCTAAAAGCTTTTCTAATGTCAAGTATCATTTCCTTAGACCATGAGATTGTGCAACTCCCGGATACCATAGGAATGCTTTGGGTGTGCCAAACGTCACAACATAACTGGATGGCTATAAAGGTGCACTACAGGTATCTCTGTAAGTGTCTGTTGGGTTGGCACGAATCGAGACTGAGATTTGTCACTCCGTGTGACGGAGAGGTATCTCTGGGCCCACTCGGTAATGCATCATCATAATGAGCTCAATGTGACTAAGTAGTTAGTCACAGGATCATGCATTACGGAACGAGTAAAGTGACTTGCTAGTAACGAGATTGAACAAGGTATTGGGATACCGATGATCGAATCTCGGGAAATTAACGTATCGATTGACAAAGGGAATTGTATACGGGATTGCTTGAATACTCGATGAGATCATCGTGGAACATGTGGGAGCCAACATGGGTATCCAGATCCCGCTGTTGGTTATTGGCCAGAGAGCTGTCTCGGTCATGTCTGCATGATTCCCGAACCCGTAGGGTCTACAGACTTAAGGTTTAGTGACGCTAGAGTTGTTATGGGAATTAGTGTGCAATTACTGAATGTTGTTCGGAGTCCCGGATGAGATCCCGGACGTCACGAGGAGTTCCGGAATGGTCCGGGGGTAAAGATTTATATATGGGAAGTCCTATTTTGGCCACCAGAAAATGTTCGGAATTTTTCGGTATTGTACCGGGAAGGTTCTAGAAGGTTCCGGAGTGGGGCCCACCTGCATGGGGGGACCCATATGAACGTGGGTAGTGGGGGAAAGGCCCCACACCCCTGGTCAAGGCGCACCAAGATCCCCCCTTAGAAGGAATAAGATCATATCCCGAAGGAATAAGATTAAGATCCCTAAAAAGGGGGGATAACAATCGGTGGGGAAGGAAATGATGGGATTTCTTTCCTTCCACATTTGCGAACGCCCCAATGGACTTGAAGGGCAAGAAACCAGCCCCCTCCACCCCTATATATAGTGGGGAGGTGCATGGGAGCTTCACCCTTGCCCCTGGCGCAGCCCTCCCCCTCTCCAACTCCACCTCCTCCTCAGTAGTGCTTGGCAAAGCCCTGCCGGAGAACTGCAAGCTCCACCACCACGCCGTCGTGCTGCCAGAGCTCTCCCTCAACTTCTCCTCTCCCCTTGCTGGATCAAGAAGGAGGAGACGTCCCCGGGCTATACGTGTGTTGAACGCGGAGGCGCCGTCCGTTCGACGTTAGATCAGATCTTCCGCGATTTGAAGCGAGTACGACTCCACCAACCGCGTTCTTGTAACGCTTCCGCATCGCAATCTTCAAGGGTATGAAGATGCACCCCCTCTCTCTCGTTGCTAGTTACTCCATAGATTGATCTTGGTGATGCATAGAAAATTTCGAATTTCTGCTACGTTCCCCAACAGTGGCATCATGAGCTAGGTCTATGCGTAGTTTCTATGCACGAGTGGAACACAAGTTGTTGTGGGCGTCGATTTTGTGATTTTACTTGCCGTTACTAGTCTTATCTTGATTTGGCGGCATCATGGGATGAAGCGGCCCGGACCGACCTTACATGTACGCTTACGTGAGACAGGTTCCACTGACTGACATGCACTAGTTGCATAAGGTGGCTAGCGGGTGTCTGTCTCTCCCACTTTAGTCGGATCGGATTCGATGAAAAGGGTCCTTATGAAGGGTAAATAGCAATTGGCATATCACGTTGTGGTTTTGGCGTAGATAAGAAACGTTCTTGCTAGAAACCTATAGCAGCCACGTAAAAACTTGCAACAACAATTAGAGGACGTCTAACTTGTTCTTGCAGCATATGTCGTGTGATGTGATATGGCCAAAAGGATGTGATGAATGATATATATGTGATGTATGAGATTGATCATGTTCTTGTAATAGGAATCACGACTTGCATGTCGATAAGTATGACAACCGGTAGGAGCTATAGGAGTTGTCTTAATTTATTGTATGACCTGCGTGTCATTGAATAACGCCATGTAATTACTTTACTTTATTGCTGAACTGTTAGCCATAGTAGTAGAAGTAATAGTTGGCGAGACAACTTCATGAAGACACGATGATGGAGATCATGATGATGGAGATCATGGTGTCATGCCGGTGACAATGATGATCATGGCACCCCGAAGATGGAGATCAAAAGGAGCAAAATGATATTGGCCATATCATGTCACTATTTGATTGCATGTGATGTTTATCATGTTTTTACATCTTATTTGCTTAGAACGACAATAGCATAAATAAGATGATCCCTCGCTAAAATTTCAAGAAAGTGTTCCCCCTAATTGTGCACCGTTGCGAAGGTTCGTTGTTTCGAAGCACCACGTGATGATCGGGTGTGATAGATTCTAACATTCGAATACAACGGGTGTAAGCCAGATTTACACAAGCAAAACACTTAGGTTGGCTTGACGAGCCTAGCATGTACAGACATGGCCTCGGAACACAAGAGACCGAAAGGTCGAACATGAGTCGTATAGCAGATACGATCAACATGAAGATGTTCATCGATGATGACTAGTCCGTCTCACGTGATGATCGGACACAGCCTAGTTGACTCGGATCATGTATCACTTAGATGGCTAGAGGGATGTCCATCTGAGTGGGAGTTCATTAAATTAGATGAACTTAATTATCATGAACATAGTCAAAAGGTCTTTGCAAATTATGTCATAGCTTACGCTTTAGTTCTACTGTTTTAGATATGTTCCTGGAGAAAATTTAGTTGAAAGTTGATAGTAGCAATTATGTGGACTAGGTCCGTAAATTGAGGATTGTCCTCGTTGCTACGCAGAAGGCTTATGTCCTTAATGCACCGCTCGGTGTGCTGAACCTCGAACGTCGTCTGTGAATGTTACGAACACCTGACATACACGTTTTGATGACTACGTGATAGTTCAGTAATGTTAAACGGTTTAGAATTGAGGTGCCGAAGATGATTTTGAAACGTCGTGGAACATATGAGATGTTCAAAGGGCTGAAATTGGGATTTCAGGCTCGTGCCCACGTCAAGAGGTATGAGACCTCTGATGAGTTTCTTAAGCCTGCAAACTAAGGGAGAAAAGCTCAATCATTGAGCATGTGCTTAGATTGTCTGAGTACGACAATCACTTGAATCAAGTGGGAGTTAATCTTCCAGATGAGATAGTGATGGTTCTCCATAGTCACTACCACCAAGCTATTAGAGCTTCATGATGAACTATAACATATCAGGGATAGACATGATGATCCTTGAGCAATTCACGATGTTTGACACCGCGAAAGTAGAAATCAAATAGGAGCATCAATTGTTGATGGTTGGTAAAACCACTAGTTTCAAGAAGGGCAAGGGCAAGAAGGGATACTTCATGAAACGGAAAATCAGTTGCTGCTCTAGTGAAGGAACCCAAGGTTGAACCCAAACCTGAGACTAAGTGCTTCTGAAATAAGGGGAACGGTCACTGAAGCGGAACTACCCTAGATACTTGGTAGATGAGAAGGTTGGCAAGGTCGACAGAAGTATATTGGATATACATTATGTGTACTTCACTAGTACTCCTAGTAGCACCAGGGTAATAAATACCGGTTCGGTTGCTAAGTGTTAGTAACTCGAAATAAAAGGCTACGGAATAAAGGAGACTAGCCAAAGGTGAGATGACGATATGTGTTGGAAATGTTTCCAAGGTTGATGTGATCAAACATCGTACGCTCCTCTACCATCGGGATTGGTGCTAAACCTAAATAATTGTTATTTGGTGT